TGTAGAGTGCAATCTTTGTCCTTGAAAGCACAATACAAAGCATCTGTGTGTCTTCACCATGCATTGGTGCCCCCAGCCTCCTCATCTGTGCTGTGTATATGGATTAATGTTACACTATTGTGGAGGATTTGATGACATCATTTGATTATTTGATGATAGATACATCTCCGAGGCGATGATTGCTGTACATTGTAGGGATTGGGCTGTGTAGGTATATGAGGACTGGCAGGGTGAAGGTGAGGTGTGTCCTGGATGCTGTAGTATATGGCATGACGATGGATTGAAGGGGGGGGGGCGCTTCTGGTGGGTCTATAATGGGGTGTCCGGTGTGTCACTGACCCGAGATTGGAGCTTTCAGATTAAACTTTGTGTATTATGCGGAAACACTGGCAGTGGCGGAGTACAATGATAGTCATGTACAATGGATGAACAAAGAGGAATGTCAATGGACACACGAGGAGCACTTTACTGAGTGTGCATTGAGATCCCAGTAGGACAATGGGGAGCAGATCCTTGTCGTGGATCCTTTGTGTGGGGGCCGGGGGTGCTGTGGATTGTCCTGACTCAGCTGTGCTGGTGTAGTGTCATGCTTTGTATGGAGGCTGCATGGGCCGGTGATCTGTTATTACTCCTTATATCAGGGATCATGTGATCTGCTGTGGTGTCCTTGTGATCCAGTGACTATGATGATTGAACAGAATGTGATTTGTCAAGACTTAGGGTTTCCTTCAATGACATAGCACAGACAATTTACACTGTGAGTACCAAAAGTGCACCAAAGGAGCTCGCAGTCTAATAGCCCTGATAGTCTCAGACCCTGCTCCTAAGGAGCTTGCAATCTAATAGCCCTGATAGTCTCAGACCCTGCTACAAAGGAGCTTGCAATCTAATAGCCCTGATAGTCTCAGACCCTGCTCCAGAGGAGCTTGCAGTCTGATAGCCCTGATAGTCTCAGACCCTGCTCCAAAGGAACTTGCAATCTAATAGCCCTGATAGTCTTAGACCCTGCTCCAAAGGAGCTTGCAGTCTGATAGCCCTGATAGTCTCAGACGCTGCTACAAAGAAGCTTGCAGTCTAATAGCCCTGATAGTCTCACACTTTAGGAAAAAGCAAATTCACTTATTACTGAGGAAACCAGAATACATACACACAGAGGGAAAGGATGTATACATTGCGGTGATTGAACACGACACACCAGAGCTACAAGGCTGAAGTAGCAGCCACTGACCTGACCTAATGTACTTGTGACCTGATGATGTATGGGGATCCCTCAGTGTGTGATCTACAGAGACCTGAAATGGACCCTGTGCCCCGTATTAGTGATATCTGTAGATTGGTGCAATTTACTCTTGTGCTAGTGATCTACTGATTGATGTGTTATTGATCTGGTGATAGATTATTGATCATTATTAGATGGGATTCTGCAGTGATTGATTTCGGCATCCTCCTGATCCCATGCAATATCTTCATGAACTTGTGATCTCCTGCTGATCTGGAATGATGTGCTTGTGATCTATAGGGCGACCTATCAGTGATCTAGTAAATGATCTTCAGCAGAGTTTAGTGATACATCAGTCCCTGCCCCCAAAGAGCTTACAATCTAAGATCCCTATCTCACATACATACACACAGGGCCTGAGGGCAGCAGGGAGTAGAGGGGCAACCGGGGTGTGGAACTGATACCTCCCGATGCACAAGTGGGTAGTGGTTTTCTACATTCAGCCCTGCTTTGGGCAAGCAGAGCTAACCCTAACCCCCCCCCCTCCCCCACCCGTGATCTCAGTGTTAGTGCCTCATTAGTCTGGTTGGAGGCAGTAATCCCCGGTGACCTGGTGGCTCTCTGCGAGTCTCTGGTGTCACCATTTCCCTGGCAGCTGAGGTATCATAGCAGCTTGTGTTACGGATTATACAACTGTGAACCTTCGCGTTCTCACCTGTGGCAAACATGCCTGTCTTTCCTGCAACAGGAGGGGTGATGTCATTGGTTTATCTATGACATCACTGCCCTGTGTCTCATAATAGATGTGTATTCACTTATCTGTGACATCATGGTGCCCGACTCAAAAGAGGTGCGTGTTCACTTATCTGTGACCTCACGGTGCCCACCTCAGAAGAGGCATGCGTTCCCTTACCTGTGAAATTACGGTGCCCATTTCAGAGGAGTCGCATGTTCCCTTACCTGTGACATCACGGTGCCCGTCTCACAAGGTGCATGCATTTACTTACCTGTGACATCACGGTGCCCACCTCAGAAGAGGCATGCGTTCCCTTACCATTGAAATTACGGTGCCCATTTCAGAGGAGTCGCATGTTCCCTTACCTGTGACATCACGGTGCCCGTCTCACAAGGTGCATGCATTTACTTACCTGTGACATCACGGTGCCCGTCTCACAAGGTGCATGCATTCACTTACCTGTGACATCACGGTGCCCGTCTCACATGAGGCATGCATTCACTTACCTGTGACCCCGCAGTCCCGTGTGGCTCCAGAGATGAGTGTTCACCCCGTATACGTCCATATTACATAGCCCGGGCCCTCCCTGAACCTCTCATTATTCCTCCGCAGTGATATTATTAAGTGTTTTGCAGTTTTCATCGACTTTATTAGTTTTCGGCCCCTTTGCGTTGCAGAAGTAATAACGTTTACGACTCCAGCGGAGCCCCTGAGTTGTACTTACAATCTGCACCTAATAATCGGAGCCGCTCCTGGTTATTACTGCGAGTTTAATCTCCTCCATTGCTCCGGCGTTAATCATTTTAATAAATGACTGCGGTATTAATCCTCCGTATTACCCTCCCCGATCATCGTCATCATCCCAACCTGAAATACACACCGAGGAACCACAAGAACCAGCAACTGGGAGACGAGGCAAGGGAGGACATAGCACTATTCACAGCAGGCTCTGCACCAGAGGAGCTGACACTCTAATGTCCCCCCCACAGTCACACTATTATTATACAGGTATATAGCTCTGACATATACCGCAGTGCTGTACAGAGGACACTGAGCCAGTCACATCAGTCTCTGTACAGAGGAGCTTACACTCTAATGTCCCCCCCACAGTCACACTATTATTATACAGGTATATAGCTCTGACATATACCGCAGTGCTGTACAGAGGACACTGAGCCAGTCACATCAGTCTCTGTACAGAGGAGCTTACACTCTAATGTCCCCCCCACAGTCACACTATTATTATACAGGTATATAGCTCTGACATATACCGCAGTGCTGTACAGAGGACACTGAGCCAGTCACATCAGTCTCTGTACAGAGGAGCTTACACTCTAATGTCCCCCCCACAGTCACACTATTATTATACAGGTATATAGCTCTGACATATACCGCAGTGCTGTACAGAGGACACTGAGCCAGTCACATCAGTCTCTGTACAGAGGAGCTTACACTCTAATGTCCCCCCCACAGTCACACACTATTATGCATTTATATAGCTCTGACATATACCGCAGCGCTGTACAGCGCACACTGAGCCAGTCACATCATGTGAACATGCCTGATGGAGAGGTCCTGCATTGCACTATTGACATTGCACTAATCTGTTCAATACAAATCTGGACTTCATGATCCATGGTATGCCAGTGACACATTTCCTCTATGCTTTATACTGATTGACAGCTCAGTTTTTGCTACAACACCCTTTAAACCTAAACTCCGGGATAAGCAATTATCATCTAAATACAAGATCCACATGTATTCTTCTTTCCATATTGGTGAGCTCTGTGTATTTCTTCCAGATCTGTGCAGTAATCCAGTGTGAGACTTCCTGTAATAAAGACCGGTCACTGCTGCTCTCCTTGTGCAGGGTGACTGGTCTTGTCTCCGCCCCCTCCT